TCGCAGCCAGTGTAGACAGGCGGCAAGATTTTGCACAAAAGCAACTGCTTTTGCGCAAAATCTTGCCAGTCTAGATGTACCCATTGAGTTCTTGTTCTTTAAATTGCCAGGTGATTGGGTTATGATGTAGGAGGAAGTCAGTAAAATAAGGGATTTCTTGGTAGAGATTATCCCTTAGTTTGCAGTTAAAGGACTTGGGTTCAGATCCCCAAAAGGAATTTGTGTGACTAACTCCAATTGAAATTAATAAGACTTAAGCTCCTAAACACCACTGAGAATTTGAAACCAAGGATCTGATGTCTTTCCATTAAGGGTACGTCTAGACTACACGCTTCTTTCGAAATAAGCTTTTTTGAAAGATTATTTTGAAAAAGCGATCCACTTTTTCAAAAGAGAGCACACACGCAATCTGGATGCTCTATTTGAAAAAAGCTCAGGGCAGAAGAATAAAAAACAAAAACCAAAATCCTAAGAATTGCTGCTTTCCTGTCGGCAAAGGGGGATAAATTGTAACTTAGCATGTCAACTGGAACAAAATATGTAAAGAAAGAACATTTGATAGTTTTTAAATCAATTCATATACCTTAGAAAATCTGGTGCTTTGGAAATCATATTTTCAAAGTCTGCAAATGCTAGTTTCCCATCACCATCCATATCAGCTTCTTCTATCACCTTTTCACAAACTAAAGTGATTTCTTCTGCTGTTAGCTCTTCTCGTGTCAGCTTGTTGAGGGTTTTTTCAAGATCAGATTTACAAATGAAGTTATCTGTGTTAAAATCTAAACAAAAAGAGGAAAAAAGAAAAAAAAAGATCATCAGTAGCTACAGTTTCTGCAACAACATCGTGGCCCGTGATTTTCTTAAACTAAATAGCTTATAAACAAGGTTATATCTGTCAATGTGATAGCATAAAATATTAATGACAACTATTTCAGGCTTAAAGATAGGATTTATTTTTATAAAGACTTTTAAATGTTAATGTTATTGTGGGATGTCCCTTCCTCCAAATATAAAAACATTCTCCTGTAGTGTTTGTCATTCAAACACTGAAAATTGTGCCATTGCATGAGAAGCAAGATGTGAAATATTTATAAATAGACCAATAAAAAAAATCAATGGAGGTTAACTTTTCAACAGGAGTGAAGTATAAAAAACAAACCAAAAGCAGAAATATAGAAAGTTTAGAGGTCTGCCTTCTTTTAATTTTAATTAAAGAATTCCTTTGTTGTATTAAGTGATTTATACCTGTTTATATTGAGCTGCACAAAAGAATTAACAATGAAATCTGAAAATCTCAGAGTCTTAGGTTTCATTTCCATTTTTTGATTTCATGGAATTGACCCAGTTCTGTAAAATAAGAAATGACCCCTCCCACATGTGCAGGATTTGAGCTGAACAGCAGGGCCTACAGCCTCACTGGGCCACTGGGCAAGGTGGGGAAGAGGTGGGGCCTCAGGCTGTCAGAGCCATCCAGAGCACACTACCTCCCCTCCCTCCAGCCCTCACAGCCATCCTGAGTGCTCTGCGGCCGCAGCGCTTTGGCAGCATAGTGGTGGCAGCTGGAGCCCCAGATCTTTTAGACTCGATGGGCCCTGGGGAAATTGCCCATTTTGCCTCCCCTCCGAGTCAGCAGGAGCTGAAATATTCCTTAGTTGCAAGGTTTCCTCTAAGCTGTGCAGCAGCATGGCCCCGCAGCCACATACTGAGCCCTGCGCAGGGTCCCAGAACTGTTCCTGCCGGCTGGGAGAGACTAGCTGTTCTGTCCTCAGCAGGGAGCTGCTGCTGTAGCTGAGGGAGAAGTGCCCCTCCCCTAGCCAGGCAACGCCATAAATGACAGCCCTGAGCCCCTGGGCAGGGCTCATTAAGCTGCAGCGGGCTGTGCTGCCATGCAGCTTAGAGGGAACCTTGCTTAGTTGCATTACTCATAACATTTCAACCATTTTAAAGACTTCGTCTTCAATTCTAGTGAAAAGCTTAACATTCATTTCTGTGAAATTGTTTCATGGACCAATTTTTGCATCTAAAAATACCAGATTTCAAAATGGCCCACATTTCAGTACAAAAATACACGGGCGAGTGCAAACAGTGGCTTATTACCTCTGGCCAGGCTCTAGTCCTTTAAACATAGTTGCAGGCAGCCCAATATACCTGTTGCAGAGCCACAGCCTTTAAGACCAAAACTTCTGGGGAATGTAGTCTGGGGAAGAAGTGTGATGGTCACATGAGTGATCACATGACTAGGCTGACAGCAAATCAAGATATAAAAGGAAAGATCTGTTGCTCAAACTAGGAAGATCTGGAAGAGGCATGTGCTGTTTATGGGGCTTGCTTTGGAGAAAACCCAAGAAGGGGCAATGGCTAAACGAAGCCATAGGGGAAGCCTATGCCCCAGACAGTAGATCTATACTGTTATTTTTAGCCCCATAAAACAGGACTTGTGAGCCCAAATCCGTTCATGTGGGCTCTGAGACTCGCTGCCCCAGTCTAGGGTGCAGGACATGTTTCTTTGTTTGTTTGTTTGAAGTACAGATGGGCTACGTCTAGACTGGCATGATTTTCCGGAAATGCTTTTAACGGAAAAGTTTTCCGTTAAAAGCATTTTCGAAACAGAGCGTCTAGATTGGCAGGACTCTTTTCCACAAAAGCACTTTTTGCAGAAAAGCGTCCGTGGCCAATCTAGACGCGTTTTTCCGCAAAAAAGCCCCGATCGCCATTTTCGCAATCGGGGCTTTTTTGCGGAAGACAAATCTCAGCTGTCTACACTGGCCCTTTTGTGCAAAAGTTTTGCACAAAAGGGACTTTTGCCCGAACGGGAGCAGCATAGTATTTCCGCAAAAAGCACTGATTTCTTACAGTAGGAAGTCGGTGCTTTTGCAGAAATTCAAGCGGCCAGTGTAGACAGATGGCAAGTTTTTTCCGGAAAAGTGGCTGATTTTCCGGAAAAACTGGCCAGTCTAGACACAGCCATGCTGTAGGAGATTTTGGGAATAGGCTGGTCTAATGAGGAGCCACAAGAGAAAACAAGACAAGGCTCAGAAAGGGAGGTTCATCTGTATAGCTGCTGGAGATACTAGTTTTTATTAGACCTTATCGGTAAGTGAGATCCCAGGTGGGGAGACTTTACTTTGAACTTGGAAAGATGTGATCCATTTCGAAGATAGGGCAAGCTCAGACAGCAATTTTGTATTCCCCTACAATCATCTCAAATACCAAAGCAGCTCTTCCTACGGTTTAATCCAACATGTGCTTAACTTCAAGAATATAAATAGCTCTGTGGACTTTAAAGTTAAGTGCATGCTTTGCGGATCGGGCCAAACTGTTGAGCACCTTGCAGAACTAAACCATTTTGCTTTTTGGCTAAGCACAGAGCTGATAGTGAACTTCTCTCCTAGCTGGAGAGTGATTCTGTGAATTGATGGAGCCATTTATCTACAGCATCCCCGCACATTACCATAGATCTTAAAGGCATAGATTGCTTTGAGCTCTCTGGGAGCCATTTCACTGAGCACAGAGAACATGTCTACGAAGTCATTGAAGCTCAGGTTCCCTTCTCCATCCTCTGAGAAAGCCTCCACAATCCTCTCCTTGAAGGGGTTTTCCTGCATAAAACACACAGGCTTATTTTTAGAACTTGGGACTTCACAGAATTAGCAAGTACAGCAGACACACAACAGAGCCTACAGACTTCCCCTGCAAACTGTATCCTGGAGGTTAAATAGTCTGGTATGGAGAATGGGATGAGTGCAGGTCAGGGAAACAGCCACACAGATACATTGATCTTCATGCAAATCTTGCTTACTTTATTCATGAAAGTAGTCACAGTGAAATCAATGGATCTATTTGTGTGAATCAGGCAAGGAAAATTTGGATCTGGATGAATTAACAAAAATAATTGTAGATTGTAAAGACTGCATGCAAATTGCTTAGTTTCTTTAAATCTAGATACAACAAAAACCTGAGACTGTAGCAAATACTAAAACTCTGTTATAATATCACTCCCATGCCTGCCACCATCTGTCAGCTGGTCATTATCACCTTAAGAGACAATGTCACTTTGGGTATGTCTACACTACAAAGTTAATTTAAACTAACAGTCGTTAGTTCGAATTAACTTTCATAGATGTTACACATACAAACCGCTAGTTCGAACTTAATTCGAACTAGCGGAGCGCTTAATTCGAACTAGGTAAACCTCATTCTACGAGGACTAATGCCTAGTTCGAATGAAGTAGTTCGAATTAAGGGCTGTGTAGCCACTTAATTCGAACTAGTGGGAGGCTAGCCCTTCCCAGCTTGCCCTGATGGCCACTCTGGGCCAAACCCGGGAAACTCTTCTTCCCCCATCCCGGCCCCAGAGCCCTTAAAGGGCCACAGTCTGGCTACGGTGCTTGTGCCAGACCCTGCACCTGGCACGGCATGAGCCAGCTACCCGCTGCCACCCAGCCCTCCGCCTCTTCCCAGGACCAGGCTGGCAGCTCCCAGGAGCCTGCCCAGGGCCGCAAGAGGCAGGCGCCCGCCTGGTCTAGTGCGGAGATCGTGGACCTCATCCAGGTTTGCGGGGAGACCTCCAACATCCACGACCTCCGCACTAGGCACAGGAAAGTGGCTGTCTAGGGCAGGATAGCTGCCAGCCTGGCCCCCAAAGGCCACATGCGAACCCAGGATCAGGTTTGCATGAAAATCAAGTTGGTCCAGTGAGACCCCCCGATCCTGAGCTTAGAACATAAGAACGGCAGTACTGGGTCAGACCAAAGGTCCATCTAGCCCAACAGCCTGTCTGCCGACAGTGGCCAACACCAGCTACCCTGGAGGGGATGGACCGAAGACAATGACCAAGCCATTTGTCTCGTGCCATCCATCTCTAGCCTTCCACAAACAGAGGCCAGGGACACCATTCCTACCCCCTGGCTAATAGCACTCCATGGACCCAACCTCCATAACTTTATCTAACTTCTCTGTAAACTCTGTTCTAGTTGTAGCCTTCACAGCCTCCTGTGGCAAGGAGTTCCACAGGTTGACTATTTGCTTTGTGAAGTACTTTCGCTTATTAGTTTGAAGCCTGCTACCCATTCATTTCATTTGGTATCCTCTAGTCCTTATATTATAGGAACTAATGAAGAACTTTTCTTTATGCACCCTCTCTACACCACTCATGCTTTTAGACCTCTATCATATCCCCCCTCAGTCTCCTCTTTTCTAAGCTGAAAAGTCCCAGTCGCTTTAGCCTCTCTTCATATGGGACCTGTTCCAAACCCCTGATCATTTTAGTTGCCCTTTTCTGAACCCTTTCCAAGGCCAAACTATCTTTTTTGAGGTGAGGAGACCACATCTGTACACAGTACTGAAGATACGGCGTACCATAGTTTTATACTTCCCCTTCTCCTTCTTCCCCTGGCTTCCCCCTTCCAGCTCCCTCCTCCCAGGTTTCCCCCTCCTTTCTCCCACCCTCTCTCTTCCCCTCTCCCACCTCCTTTCCCCAGTCTCCCCAGAGGTTTACTCCCCTCCTCACCCCCCGGTTTTGTTAAATAAAGAGAGTTTCTATTTTTGAACACACGTGTCCTTTATTTTTTACATCAGGAAGGGGGGCTAGGGAGGGGTAAGTGGAAGGAGGTGAGGGAGGAATGGGGCACGAGACCCTGATGGGGAGGACTGGGGTGGCTCTGCGGGCTCCTCAGGGTGGAAGCTCTCCTGCAGGGCCTCCTGGATCCTGACAGCCCCCCGATTGATCCCCCCCTCCGGATGGCAGCCTGCGGCAAGTGCATCCGGGCTGATGGCCAAGTGCTGTGATGTGCCGAGTGTAGGCACTCAGGGCACTCCAAGACAGGACTGCTTTGCTGTCCCTCATCGAGGTAGACAAGCAAGCGGGGAACCCTGAGAACTGCCTGTCCGGAGTGGGGGTCGGGTCCCTTTAAGCACAGCCCTCAGGCTAGCCTGAGACAGCAGCTCCACACTCTAAGTCCTAACCTGATGCCCTGCTGGTTCAGGGTCCACTCAATGCGGCTGGTTCAGGGCCCTTAACTTCGGTTCAGGGTCCACTCAATGTGGACATGCTAGTTCAAATTAGCAAAACGCTAATTCGAATTAGTTTTTAGGTCTAGATGCACTAGTTCGAATTAGTGCTGTAGTGTAGACATACCCTTTCAGATTTGACTCTGACTTTGTGCTAATGCTGTTGAGCATATGGGTCACAAGCAAATAAATGACCTTATCTTTCAGTAAATTGGACCATGTGTACATCATCACTTATAACAGCAAAAACATATGCCCCCTATTGGCATGGGAAAAAACCCAAGCCTCTGAACAACATCATTTCACCAGCATAAGTGGTAGTGTGCACAGCACTGTGTTGGGAGGGGAGCTTCTTCCCACAGCATAGCTACTGCTGCTTATTGAGGTGGTTTTATTATATTAATGGAAGAGTTATCACCCATTGGCACAGAATGGCTACATGAGTGATCTTACAATGGTGCAGCTACATGGGTACAACTGTGTCCCTGTAAGTATGGTAATGTGGATATGGCCTTGGTATCTCTGTGATCAAAGAACTTCCAAGTTTTCCAACTCAGGTATTTTGGGCTACGTCTACATTGGCATGATTTTGCACAAATACTTTTAACGCAAGAGTTTTTGCATTAAAGTATTTGCACAAGAGAGCCTCTACACTGGCATGTGTCTTTGCGCAAGAGATGTGCTTTTGCGCAAAAGCATTCGTGCCAGTGTAGACACTCTCTTGCGGAAGAAAGCTCCGATGGCCATTTTAGCCATTGGGCTTTCTTGCGCAAGAAATTAACGTTGCCTATCTACACTGGCCTCTTGCGCAAGAACAGTTGTGCATTATGGCTTATCCCTGAGCGGGAGCATCAGAGTATTTGTGCAAGAAGCACTGATTTCCTACATTAGAACATCAGTGTTCTTGCGCAAGTACTCGTGGCCAGTGTAGACAGGTGGCAAGATTTTGCGCAAAATCTTGCCAATGTAGACATAGCCTTAGGCTACGTCTAGACTGACATGATTTTTCGCAAATGTTTTTAACGGAAAAGTATATGTGAAAAATGTCATCAGGTCCTCTCTCAATTGCTTTTTGTCAAGACTAAACACATTGGCTCTGCCTACATTGGTGCTATCTTGTGCAAAAGCAGCTGCTTTTGCACCAAAACTTGCTGCCTGTCTACACTGGCTGCGAGTTCTTGTGCAAGAACACTGATATTCTAATGTATGAAATCAGGGCTTCTTGCGCAAGAACTCTGATGTTCCCACTCAGGAATAAGCCCTCTTGCGCAACTGTTCTTGCGCAAGAGGCCAGTGTAGACAGGCAACATTAATTTCTTGAGCAAGAAAGCCCGATGGTTAAAATGGCCATCAGAGCGTTCTTGCACAAGAGAGAATCTACACTGGCATGGATGCTCTTGCGCAAAAGCACATCTCTTGCACAAAGGCACATGCCAGTGTAGATGCTCTCTTCTGGAACATTCCCTGTTCATTTACATATCCTATGCTCTAAGGTTTGGTCCTTTCTAGATATGGATATTGCTGAAAATTCCATTCTTGGCTCCCAAGACATATTTCATCTTTTCCCCAGCTCTTGCTCTGAACTCCACAAAAAGACTAAAGCTGGCAGAACCTGTTTTTGATAATTAGCTGAATGGCTGGGATGTTTAGAAAAGGCACTACCTCTCCCATCCATAAAAGCATCTTTTCTAAACCATTGTGTTCAGAATTGGACACAGTACTCAAATCTAAGTGACATGGGGCAATTACTCCTATGTCTGACATACAACACTCATGTTAGTACACCTCAAAGTTATATTAGCTTGTTTTACAACTGCATTGCATTGAAACAACACTATGGCTGTGTCTAGACTGGCCAGTTTTTTCTGAAAATCAGCCACTTTTCTGGGAAAAATGGGAAAATGTCTTCTGGCCGCTTGAATTTCCGCAAAAACATTGACTTCCTACTGTAAGAAATCAGTGCTTTTTGCGGAAATACTTTGCTGCCCCCTTTCGGGCAAAAGTCCCTTTTGCGCAAAAGTTTTGCGCAAAAGGGCCAGTGTAGACAGCTGAGATTTGTTTTCTGCAAAAAAGCTCCAATCGCAAAAATGGCGATCGGACCTTTTTTGTGGAAAAGCGCATCTAGATTGGCCACAGACGCTTTTCTGCAAAAAGTGCTTTTGCAGAAAAGTGTCCGTGCCAATCTAGACGCTCTGTTCCGAAAATGCTTTTAACGGAAAACTTTTCCGTTAAAAGCATTTCCGGAAAATCATGCCAGTCTAGACATAGCCTATAAGTTTTACAAGAAAATTAACTGTACATTTAGAAAATCAAATATATGTGAAAAGATACACTCAAGTTGATAAACTTGAAATATAGCCTTCTTCTTTGTTATGAACTTGCAACAGATTTCTGTAGAATCCATGTGGTCCAAAAAGAATTGTGGTATTGTACAGTCATGGGCCAAATATACTACCACACTTCCATAGCTTCTTGTTTCTTTTGAGCAATTCTTTAATGAGTCTGGTTTTCATTCCCTTTTTTCTAAGCAAAACAAAAAATTTAATACCAGTAGCAGCTCAGCCTTCCTAAATCACTCTGCAACCCCCAG